CAGAATTATAAGTAAAAATTAAAAAAAGTAAATTTTATGTTACTTAAATAAAGTATCTTAGCTATATACTTTTAAACAAAGGACTAAAAGTTAACTTATAGAAAGTAGAGGTACTACGCAACTAGCAAGCGCCTACTACTATAACAGGTGTAAAATCCTTTCTAGGCTTTACTAAATTTTATTAGTAATTTGTTTTAAAATTTTTTTATATAGTAAAACTAATTATTGCGCTTTAAAGTCCTACTACCTCTTTTATATAGACTTTAGAGTGTAATACAGCTTTTAAAAAGCTAAAGTCTAAGCTACTAAAAATACTTACACTTTACTATTTTAACTTTATGTTGTAAACTAAAATTAAAACTAACACTTTTAATAGAGTAGTAGCAGAAGTCCTATCTTAGGAAAATGCTAATAGAAATTAGTGCCCTATTTTATTCTATAGTAAGGTCTTATCTAGTTTAGAGCTAAACTAGAAAATACATAATAAGAAGCTATTTGCAATTATTACTGTGTTTAAATAATAAAAGGCTAAGCTTACATTAGCAATAACAAGCACCCTAGTATATACTAATTATTAGTTATTAGAGTACTTTATAATAATAAAGGTGCTAAATGCTTATTAAGTCTATTAAGCTAAAAAGTTAGCTTAGTATTACTTTTAAATTAAGTACACCTCTAGTAAGAATAATGCTAGGGCAGACATTCTTAGCTATTATAAATAAGATGTAGAAAATTTAAAAGCAGCCTAAACTAATAACTAGTTAAGGGTCTTTCTTAGACTACACTAACTTTACCTTTAAATTAATAAGAAATTAGCCTAGTACTATATTACTTAAACAACAACTTAAGTAACTTTACTAAATGTTATAAAAGAACTAGACTAGGTTATATTTTTATATTTTTTAAAATTAATTAATGTATTACTTTAGAAAAATTAAGCTTTTTTTATATAAAAGTAAAAACTTTTACTTTACTATTATTAAATAGAAAATAGACTATTTCTTTATACTAACTATTTATGTGTTCTAGTAAACTTACTGCTGTGCACCTAACTTATTTAAGAAGTTTATAATTAAGTATCTTTAGCACACCCTAGTGCTACTAAGACCTATTAGTTACTATCTTAAAAGTACTACTAGAATAGTATAGAGGCTACTTATAAATAATATGTATAAAATTACTTTCTTTGTTATAAAGCTTATCTAAAACAGACTTAAACCTTAAGGTTTATTTACTCTTTTTTAATCCCTAACTAACTAATGCAGCACTTGTGTATTAACTTTAAGAATTTTTTTAAAAATAAGTCTAGTTATAACTAGATTATAGTTATAATTAATTATATATTTAAATAAGCTATTTTTATTCCCTACTATAAAATAATTAACACTTAAAAAATAGCTGCCTTATTTATTTAATAAGTGTACTATTTTAGCTACACACCTAAAACTATTATCTTTAACTAGGGACCCTAGTTTATATCTAGTTTCTAGTCTAAATTTTGTTAAATTTTAGGTGTAAAAGTTAAGCTTTTTACTACTTATTATAAGAAAATAGATAGCTAAATAGAGATTATAAATAAGTATATTAATTAAAGACTAAGGCCTTTTATATTTTTTTACTAAAATAACTAGAGTTCCTTACTACTTCTAATTAATTAGGCTTAGATAACCTTACTCTATATAATAATTAAAATGTCTTTATATTAAGTTTTATATAGCTTTAAACTATGTTAAAGCTAGAACTAAAAACATTCTACAGAACCTATTACAGCTATAGACAAGCTAAATTATAAGAATGCTCTAGTATTAGCAACCTGCATACATGCAGCCTAAGAGTTAGCTAAGACTTATATAGAAAAGGCCTAGAATTAGATGCAAACTATAGTTAACTGCTACTACTAGCTAGTTAACTAAAAGGTTAGCAACATAGTCTACCTAGATACTAAGAACCTAGCTGTTTAAAGACCTAGCTAAAAACTATCTAAATAATAAAAAGGCCCTTTTAAAGTACTTAAATAAGTTAAAAACTTATACTACTTAAAGCTACCTTTAGAGTTAAAAATACATAATGTCTTTGCACTAAACATACTTTATAAAGACCTCTAGGATCTACTCCTAGAATAAAAACCTCTAAAACCCCCTAAAATTACTATTAATAAAGTAGAGAAGTAAAAAGTAGAGGAAATACTTACTAGTAAGCTCTACTAAAAAACACTTAAGTACTAAGTAAAATAAGTAAAACACAACTCTAATCTAGTCTAGTATAAGGCTTTAAATTTTATAAGTTTTCTTTATAAACTAAAGGCTTTTTATAATAAGCATTTAAATTAGCTAGGACTTTTAAAGGCTTTATATAAGTAAATTAAGGCTTTTAAAGCTAGTATAAAAGGCATAGATTACTTAGTAGACAATAAGGTATAAAAGTAAAAAGTAAATTTATAGTTATACATAATAGTATTACAACTTTATAGACATTACGCTAGGGAGGTTTAACAGCAAGCTATTAGACACCTCTAAACTCTTCTTTTCCTTCTCCTCTACTTTTTTTTCTCTTTTTCCTCCTCTTCTCTCTCCCCTTTAGACTCCTTTTAAACCCCCTTTACTTTATTCTTAACTGCCTAAGAGCGCTGTAATGTCTGCTTAAAAGTTAAACACTAAAGCTTTTAAAGCTAAAACCTAATAGAGCAGCTTAGTGTTTTAGTAGAACAAAGCTACCTAGACACTAGCTGTAGAAAGACTAGCTTTTTAACTCTTTATAACCTACACTACCTGCACTAGGCTCTAAGCAGACTTTAAAATAGCCTTAAAAGCCCCCTTTTTATTCTCTTTACTCTCTATGTTTTAGGCTGCTGCCTATAGCTTAAAATAGCTTTAAAGGACTAGAAATTTCTTTTTATAATATAAAAAAACCTACGCGCGTGTTAGTAAACTATACCCTAGCTATATTAAACTATATTTATATAAAATTACATTTTTTATTATGTAAAGTGTAATACTTACATTTTTTTAATTTAAAGAACTAAAAAGAAAACTTAACCTAAAGGCTATAAGCTAGGGCGCAGGAAGCCTAAAAGCAGATAACTTAAAAGGCCTCTAAAGAGGCTCTAGAAGGGGGGCAGAGCAGCATAGTAAATTTCTTTAATACTATAATTAGTTAGTAGACTAAGCTATAAGATGTTAAGTGTATAACAATACCTATAAAGTAGAGATTTAGATAATAGCTAAAAAAGAAACTAACAACATTAACTAAACTATATAGGTAAAGTAAGTAAACACTTATTACTATAAATAATAAATTTAATATATTAATAATAACTACACTACTAGTTACTACTAAATAAAAACATTATAATAAAGGCATTATATTAGTATTAGGTTTTTAGTTTATTTCTTAGTAACAGGAAATTTTAGTTAAGATAGTTATACTTATTATATTTTATCTAAATTAGTTTTAAAGTAGTTCTAAATACTTTCTAAACACTACAGATAAAGACTATTAGCTTATAAAAGAGGGGGTAGTGTAATAATTCTACAAATTGTTCTATCTTAGGTTACTTAGATCCTATCTAAAGGGTCTCTGTATTAGCCCTAACTATAACTTAACCTAGTCCCCTGCAGTTACCCCTATTCCCTTATGTATTTAGTTGCACCTTGCCCCTGTAGCTAGCTTAGTAGTTTTCTGATATCCTTTTGTACAAGGCCTATAGGTGTTAATGGCATTCCCAGGTTCAGAGTCCCCACGCACTCCCATATGCCTCTGAGTGGATTCCCACCGCATTCGGACCTATTGTCTTGCCTGCGCCGTTACATTTATAGCCTTCTTTAATATCTTATTAAACTTATCTTAAACTTTAGATTTTATAAAATGCTTAGTCTCTTTAAGCTAGTTTATAATATCTTAAATAATAGAGAGTAGAAACTAGTTATAGATAGTGTTTTTATTAAAGGTTTAATAGTCTTAGTAGACTTTAATTTTCCCTTCTTTCTTTTTTATAAATACTACTGCTAATGCTATTAGGCTGTTACTTTTTTTAAATATAGCCTCTTACTAGCATTTTATCTACATAGTTTTATAGGGCTTTCTTTTAGATTTTTGTTAAAGGTCTTAGTTTGTAAGTTTTTAGCTGTAGGTTAAGTTTTAGATTTATAGTGTAGTTCTATAGCTAGTATAGTAGAAGTTCTTTAGAGTCTTTAGAAGTTTTAAACATGTTATAGTAGTTGCTATATTTATTAAAGATAGTAGGCTCTAGTTATTATACTATTTAATATATCCTAGCCTATTCTACTTCTTAGTTAATAAGTATTTTCTTTAGTGTAGTTTCTTCTAATTCTTTTTTTATTATTTAAATTACCCTAGCTTTAGGTTTTTAGCATAGAAATTTTTTTAGTTTCTATTTCTTAAGATACTAGCCTGCCCTCTATTTTACTTTCTTATGTATTAAATAGGTATCTTAATAGCATGCAGACTAGGTTATAGTTACATGTTGCTTAAAAGTCTAGATAGTTATATTTCTCTAGTTAATTTCTAGATTATATTTATGTAGCTAATTATAGCCTAATATAGCTTAGTATTTACCTTTAAGAGGTAGTATACTTACTACTTTTTAGTTATAAGTATCTTTTATTTCTAAGTTAAGTTTAGTTATTTTAAGAGAAATATATTCTTTTTTAAACTTAATTAAGAACGCGTCTGTAAGAGTAACTCTAAAAAGCTTATTCTTATCTAGTATAGTATGTTACAGTAGTCTACTTATTATAAGTTAATAGTAGTAAACATGCATTTACTGTTAATTAAGGCTATTTTTTTATGTTCTTTTAACATAAATTTTATTATAAGACTTTAGCTAATTTTTTATTTAACTACTACTAATGCTTTTGTATTTTAGTATATAATATTATAGTCTAGAGTCTTGTTTTTTTAATATTTTTTATAACTTTTTTTATGCTTCTATCTAGTCTGTTGTTACGACCCACGATTGGACCGTAAGCTACCAACCGATCATGCCCCACCATTTGAACGAACAAGGCTGGAATCCCCTTGTCACCCCACCTCGTGAATCACGTGACCTAACGGACCAGGAATGGACAGAGTTATTAGACCGGTGGATGGAGGAATGCATCATCTAATAAGCGAAGAACGTTTGCATGCTATGCATGCTATGCGCGCCGCCAGAGGATAGAGCGCGCACGACGCGCAGAGCGCGCAACTAGAATAACTTTGTGTATATACTTAGGATCCTAACTATTGTTCGGAGGTTGTAATTAAAGTTTAGTTTATTATTACATAGACTAAGTAGCATTGCTACTTTATAATAAGAAGTAATACTAATTATATATCTTACACTTTATACCTCTAATTTTGTTCTACTAGGAACTGTTTACCTAAGCATCTTATACTGCTGTTAAAGAGCAAACTATAATTAGCCGCACCTCCTTACCCTAGTAACTAAGCCTCGACGGCCTGTACACCTGCTTAAGACTAAGTTCTCTACCACCCGCTCCCTAAAACTCATCTCTAGGCCCCGTGTGCTTCGGTTACTATTTCCCTGAAGTAGAGATTGTAACATCTGTCTAGAGCCTATGTTTTTAGTAGCCTTTAATTATGTAATCTTCTACTAAGCATTAGCAGTTCTCTACTTAGTAGTGTTATAAAAGTTAATTATTTACCTAGTGTGCCTTTTACTAGAAGTAGTAGAAGACACAGTCTCTACATTTTCTGCATTCTGTCTATAAGAGGTTTTTGTAGTCTAGACTAGAGCTGCAATAGAGACAGCTTAGCATTTTATATTCTATAGGCTCTTCTTTTAGGATGATGTCCTTTACTTTACTAGTTTCTGTTTGTTTTAGCTACTACCTAGCCTAGTGCTTAGTAAGCTAATGTTTTACATAGTACCTATTTAAGCATAAGTACTATAGAAACAGGTAATCCTTTAGGTTTATATAGACTAGTACTAGTTGTACCTGTGTCTACCTTAGGTATTTCTTTATTCTTATAATCTTAAAGCAAGTGTTTTTTATAACAGTAGTAGGTTTTACTATGCTGCTTACTTTTACATAGAATGTAATACTAATTAAGCTGTCTTATTTTTAACTCCTTTCTAGTTACTACTAGTGCTAGAGGAGGAGTCTTAGACCTTTCCTAGCAGGGGTTAGGTGTCTATAATAGTGTGGGTAGCTACTTAAAGCCTTTCTCTTTTTAAAAAATATTTTAAAAGAAGTTTTATTAATTCTTTTTATTTAAGATGCTATAATATACTCTAGTAATATTTAACATTACTTTATACATCTTTATATTATTATTAATAGGTTCTTTTTAATATAGTATTTTATAATACCAGTGTTTATAATTTACTCTGCACCTCTAGCACTAACTTTGTTAAAATTATTAAGTAAGCTTTTCTACTAGTGTTCCTAACATAGGTTATTTTAAAAAGAACTTTTCTTCCTTTATTTACACATTTTATATGTAATTTATAACTTATGTTAAACAGCATAGTCTTTTATAAACTATAGCTTCTTTTAGTGCTAAGTTAATATTATAGCTATTTTTGTCCGTACGCAGCAGCAGCGTCACAGTCTGGATACGAGCGATCGCGCACGAGCAGGACCACGTATCTCTGTCACAT